TGTTATAGGGCTGAGAAGTGAGTCTTTTTGTGGTAAGCTCAATGAAAGAATGACGAGAATGAATGAATGAATGACGAGAATAAAATAATGACAAGAATAAAAGAATGACGAGAATGAAAGAATGACGAGAATGAAATAATGATAAGATTAAGAAATAACGAGAATGATGAGAATAAAAAATGAAAGAATGTTATTTGTTATAAGGCTGAGAAGTGACTGTTCTTGTGCTAAGCTCAATGAAAGAATGACGAGAATTAAATAATGATGAGAATGAAATAATTAATAAGATAAAAGAATAACCAGAATAAAAGAATGACGAAAATGAAAGAATAAAAAGAATGAAAGAATAAAATGAATGAAAGAATGACGAGTAAAAAAGAATGATGAAAATGAAAGAATGATCAGGATGAAATAATGTTATAAGGCTGAGAAGTGAGTCTTTTTTGTGCTGAGCTCAATGAAAGAATGAAAGAATGGCGAGAATGAAAGAATGACGAGAATCAAATAATGACGAGAATAAAAGAATGATGAGAATGAAAGAATGTGTTATGGGGCTGAGAAGTGAGTCTTTTTGTGCTAAGCTCAATGAAAGAATGACGAGAATGAAAAAAATATGAGAATAAAAGAATGACGAGAATGAAATAATGATAAGATGAAGGAATAACGAGAATGAGAGAATTATGAGAATAAAAGAATGAAAGAATGTTATTTGTTATAAGGCTGAGAAGTGACTGTTCTTGTGCTAAGCTCAATGAAAGAATAACGAGAATTAAAGAATGAAATAATTACTAAGATGAAAGAATAACGAAAATAAAAGAATGACGAAAATGAAAGAATAAAGAAAATTAAAGAATGAAGAGGAAAAAAGAATGATGAAAATGAAAGAATGATCGGGATGAAAAAACGTTATAAGGCTAAAAAGTGAGTCTTTTTGTGCCCAATAAAATAATGAAACAATGAAAAAATGATAAGAATGAAAAAATTGAAATAAAATACTTACCAATATAAAAGAAAAAAACAAATAAAGAGAATAAAAGAATGACGGAAATGAAAGAACGATGACAATAAAAGAATGATCAGGATAAAAGAATGTTATATCATATAACAATATTTTATCCTGATCATTCTTTCATTAAGCTAAGCACACAAAGACTCACTTCTTTTTGTGCTAAGCTTAATGAAAGAATGACAAGAATGAAAGAATGATGAGAATAAAAGAATGACGAGAATGAAAGAATGACGAGAATAAAAGAATAACGAGAATGAAATAATGACGAGAATGAAAGATTAACGATAATGAAAGAATGAAGATAATAAAAGAATGAAAAAATTAAAAAAAATTAAAGGATAAGAGAATGAAAGAATAAAATACTGAAAGCATGAAGTATTTAGACATATTATCGAAAGAGATGGTAGGAAAACACCTTTCAAATAAATTTTCTTTTTCGCAGTACAGCATGTTTGATAACTGATAAAACTGATTCGTAGTATTAAGATTTATTAGTTAACTTAATCCATCTCATTTTTGCAGGAAAAGCTCACCGCCACCTTTAAATCCGGCACTGAATAGAATCAATCGAGGCAGTTTGAATGAGTGCGAGGCATCAATAGTAAAAGGAAGAGAATAAAGCAAAAGAAACCGAGAAATATTCTGCGTTATCTGTGCAAAGTAGTAATTCAATCGGAGTGGGCAGCTGCTGCAGCAATATGAAGAGACCGTACTGAATATTAAATATCCATCTTTATTTCGTTCGGCCGGTATCGAGCCCGTCGGTTATACGGGTTTATTTATCGCGCACCGCGGTCGGACAGCTCCTGAGAACCGGAGTGCAGATTATGCGTCTCGGGGCGTCGTAAAGATGCGCTCCCTGACAGACGAAATAAAGCAGAACGCACTGCATTGCACTGAAATGCTGCCCTGCACCACATACACTCCAATCATTCGATATTATGCGCCGTTCTACAGCAACATGACCATCTTCAAACGTCTTATTTACACTGTTATAAAAATCAGATTTGTTAACATGAGTTTGTAGTTTGTTAATTTTATTTTGTAAAATTTAACATATTTTTTTTTAGAAAACCAGGGTTTACAAATATTTTAACGAAGGAAAATATTTTACCGAAAGTTTTGTTTTCTAACTTCTGACTATTTCCAGATCAGTGTTAACTATGCAGAATGTTTATAATATATTACCAGAAATCTGTTATTATTGTTATTCGGATTCCTTATACCTATTTAACGAAAATGCAAAGTCATTAAAGCAACATTTCTTATCAAAATTCTTTTCATTAAGTTCTCAATTTCCAACAAATACCTATTTTTGTTACTGGGCCTCAAAAAGGTTTGTAAAAATAATGTCCTTTTTGAAAATTACAGGAATTTTGGTTAAATTATTGACATAAGATTTTGTTATTAAATCTACAAAATGTTTGTTATAATTACAAACTATAGTTATACTTATACAATTAGTTAACAGTTGGTTGTAAACTTAGCAAAAAGTTATGTGTACCTGGGTTAACAATTTTATGGAATGATATAAAAAGTAGTATATATATATTAGGGTGATTTTTTTTTCACGACAATTTTTATTTTTTCGCTCCCAACTCAAAATCTTGTTGAAAATGTTCAAAAAAAATTCCCTGAAAATTTGAGCCCTTAATATTAACTCAAGTACTCGACCAAAGCGTAGAAAGATTTCCTATTTAAAATACACGTAAACTTTGATTATTATTTTTTTAAATATCTATATCTCAGCCGCATTTTATGCTATTGGATTGTTTCAAAAAAGGATTTACTCGTAATCAAAAGTTCTACAAAAATGCTTTATGTGCCATAGCTGTAATCTGCACATGTAGGATGGTACGGGTCACTAAATCTTATTTTAGTGAAAAATTATCATATTTTTGAAGATATTTCAAAAGTGACTGGATTCTTTGAAAAAATGTAAAAAAACAAACTTTTAGAAAATTGAATTTTTTTAAAAAAAGGTCCTATCAGTTGAATCGCTAAGATTGATATTTCTTGAGATATAAAGCGTTTACATTGACAATTTATGAAATTTTTAGGACTTTCGTATCAAACTTTGTATAAATGATGATTTTCAATTGTTTATCAGTAAAATTTCATGTAATTACGTTTTTTCTACAGTCGGGTGATTAGAGAAAAATAAATAACTCAAACAATCTAGCATAATTATTAATAACATAACTTTAAAGAAAAAAGATATATCTAACCTAAAAATTGATATAACGAGGTGTATTACATACAACATGTTATTTTATTAATAATTATGCTTGATTGTTTTAGTTATTTATTTTTCTCTAATCACCCGACTGTAGAAAAAACGTAGTAATTACATGAAATTTTACTGATAAACAATTGAAAATCATCATTTATACAAAGTTTGATACGAAAATCCTAAAAATTTCATAAATTGTCAATGTAAACGCTTTATATCTCAAGAAATATCAATCTTCAACTGATAGGACCTTTTTTAAAAAAAATTAAATATTCTACAAGTGTGTTCTTTACATTTTTTCAAAGAATCCAGTCACTTTTGAAATATCTTCAAAAATATGATAATTTTTCACTAAAATAAGATTTAGTGACCCTACATGTGCAGATTACAGCTATGGCACATACCTAAAGCATTTTTGTAGAACTTTTGATTACGAGTAAATCCTTTTTTGAAACAATCCAATAGCATAAAATGCAGCTGAGATATAGATATTTAAAAAAAAAATAATAATCAAAGTTTACGTGTATTTTAAATGGGAAATCTTTATACGCTTTGGTCGAGTACTTTGAGTTAATATTAAGGGCTCAAATTTTCAGGGAATTTTTTTTTTTGAACATTTTCAACAAGATTTTGAGTTGGGAGCGAAAAAATAAAAATTGTCGTGAAAAAAAAATCACCCTAATATATATATTTAAATAATCGATTACACTAAAATCTAAAATTAAATAAAAATTATAAATGTTGTCAAAATGTTAATTTTAAACGCGTTCGAAAAATATGAAAAAATTTCATAAACCATCATCATCGCGCTTTGATTAAAGCCACGACGAGCAACAGGTAGTGGACCGAGTTAATAACGAAATCGAAACAAAAACAAAAGATCGAACGTAATCATCACGCGTGAATATTGTTTTCGTGATAGATGGACGGAACGTTTTCGCAACGTCATCTCGGTAATCGAAGATAGCGGTGCCTTTAGGATGCACGGCGTCGCCTACTAGGACCTGCACTGCCTTCTCCTCGTCCTCCCTCTCCTCCTCCTCGATGTTTGTTTAAGTGCTGCTTCATTGCATTGTAATTAAAAATTAAATGCAATAATCTCCGCTTGTGGGTCTATTTTCTTTGCTTATCGGATATTCATCTCGAGATTATATGGTACAGTAGCGGCAAAAAATATTCCAACTGTGTGTAATGGTAGCTATGCGGCCTTTTTCTATTGCTCTTGTTATTATTTGATTGTAATCTACATAGAAATACTTTATTCATGCTTTGCTAGGTCATTTAAATCGAATTTATACTTTTCACGATGTATTAAAATCTATAAAAGTAGCACAAATTATTGGTCCTATATGGGGCGAGTGCATGCGTAATATTTTATCTGGGGCCAATATTGGATTTATTTAGCCCTATATTGGCATAAAATGATAATTTAACATATTGCCAATGTTTATCCAAGGTTGGTCCTATATTGGCATATTATTTTACGCCAATATATCATTAACTATAGTCAACGATGCCTTCGGAATTCTAAAAGTGATATCTAACGACATACGTTTGTTTCCAGGATATGTCTATACTAGTGGCGCAGGAAAAAATCTGACGAAAGATATATTGGTCCAATATTATTACGAATATTGGGCCAATATCTTTGTGCTACTTACCTCTGCAATACGCACTTGCCAAAAATGTGTCAAAATTAACAATTTGTACACTTTAATAAATAAATTATTTTAATACTATTAATTTAATATTTACAATTCTTAGTTTATTTATTTGCCATACCAATACCAAATCCTCCACCAAGTACTACTGGCCATTTTTTTCTCTTAAAAAACAATAAGGAGAATAGAGACCCCAAAAACAAACCTGTACCTAAAAAATAAGGATATATATTATCTAAAAACTAAAACCGGGTGTATACTTTAAAGCTTTGTTAAAGTTAATAAACAAAATTATGGTCACGCCAAACTTTTTTATAAGTTTGATCCTTAGAACAAAAAACAACAGGAAGGAGCATTTAATAAATGACCTTGGGTCCAAAGTGGAGCTTCAATATGGCGTATAGTTGTTTCCGTTTGACAGTGGCGTAGTAAATACAATTGAAGTTTAATTTTTATAATAATTAGGTTAGTATCAGAAAATATGATACGCCTATGGTTTTTTCTATGATGGTGACGTTCTTAGGTTATGGTTATGTTCTAAGGTTACGTTATTTGACATTGATTAATGTTTAATATTTACACCTAATTATTTTAAAATATACAATAAGTAAATAAATTAAACGTTTACCAAAATACTCACCTATGAAATGTAAATGAGTATTTTTAATTTTTGTGCTCAAGGAGCAACCACAAGCTGCACAACTAACCATAATTTGTTTTTACACCTTAAACACTAATATTTATATCTTAAACTTTAAATATTTACACTTAAACGAGAATATATCATATACAATATTGTCTAGAAACAATGAAACGCTTATTTAAAGTTAATTTAACCAGAAAAACAACATAAAACACCGACAAACACATAAAACATTCAATTTTGACAAATATAGCATCACAAATGTGTCATAATTTGGAGCTTGCAAATGGCCGACTTCCGTCGTAATTTTAGTACGGCTAAAGAATGGCAAGACTCCTTCCTGTTGTTTTTTGTTCACAATCATTTCAATGTAAAATTGAAGGTTAATTTACTCACAAATTTACCATAACCTTAAAATTGACATTTGACCGTCCTGATAGAATAAGGTTTATTTTTTACAAAAGTGGAGTAAAATGGTTGCCCTTGGCACTTTAAGGCTTACAACTGCCTCTGTAGGAAACAAAACGTTTAAAACGATTATTAATCTGTATAAACAGCACAAACTCAAAGCACAAGAATTGTAAACATAAAAATGGCCGCCGGCCAAGAGTCACCATAATTTTTCTAGGGGAAATTCTCCAAGAAGTTTTAAAAGTTTTAGAAAAAATTAATATTTTTTAAGAAAAATTAAAGCATTATTTTTAAAACTGAATTATTTTTGATTTAAAATATTTATGAATATCCCTCTTATACCCTAAATATTTTTAAGATGTTATCACTTTTTGAACAGAATTTAATAAAATCCTCAAGAATCTTAAGTTTGCTAAATAGTAGGTATTTCAGTTATTAAAATTTCGAGACGACATTTATTTCTATAATAATTTTATAATAAATGTTATAGTATATTATTATACGAGAGATAATGCAGGCTATTATTCATGAGGATTATGTTCGCGTCTCGAGTCGCCAGACGAGAGACTTAAATTATTCGAGTGAATATTGCGCATAATTTCGAGTGTAATACTATAGTACTCCATTAAGAATATAGTTAAATGATTTTAAATAATAATATAAATTAATAAAATTTAAAAAACTCTTAACCTAACTTTTTACCAATTTTAAATGTTATTATAGTCGCCCTTTCCTTATTTAAAACCCAATTGTTTCAAATCACAGTGAATATTGAAATCGGCCAATCTGATGCCTAACAACGTGAATAATGAGTTCATTATTCCCGTTGTTAGGCAGGGAATTTATAATGTTTTTCATTATTCACAATTAAAACCAATATTATGCAATAGGTGTAGATAATAGTATATTATGTATCCAGTTTTATAAACGCCATTTTAGGTACGAGTTTAATTAAGCACGAGCGTAGCTTACGAGCGAGTATTTAATAAAAACGAGTATCTAGAAAAGTTTTTAAACGATGAACTCAAAACAAAATTAAAAGCCAATTTATTTTGTTAAAAAATTGACATTTGTCAACTGTCACCCGAATTTAACCTCACTTTTTCCTAATTTATAATAAAGCTCACAAGTAGTGAATAAAAAGCTTAAAAACTACTGTTTCTAACTTCAGCCCGTGACTAAAACCATAAAGTCACAGGTCGTCAATTTAGGAGTAGATAAATATATATAAATAAAATATAATAAATATATAAATAAATATATTTACTTACCAAACTTAACAACACCTCCTAAAATATTTTGATGTATTTGTTCATCCACCTTTTTTTCAACAAAACAGTTTTCTTCCTCCATAATATTGTTGTAAATAATTACTTTAAATTTAAATTATCTCACAGTAAAACTGTATTACCCAAAATGTTTGACATATGTATGTTTTGACAATGTAAATTTGTAAAATGTATAAGATTATACAAACTGTATGTCTTAAGCTAATAAACATATACAAATTTTACTACCTACCTAGTGTGTCTTTTTACAAGCCTAGCCGTAGAAAGAGCTGCTTTTTCGCCCATAGGGAGACGGTAAAATTTAACTTTATCATAGCATAGAAAGAAAACCAATTTAAATGCAGCAGACGGCTTCTTTTAAAACTACCGGTGGTCCAACATTTGAATATAATGACTGTTTCCATCGTGTAGATGCCAGTGGTGTCTTCTTCTTTTCGATACGACGAGTTTTTTGCACTTTCATATGGAAAAAGTCGGCCGCAAGTAGACGATATATTTAAATCAGTTTCATTGGGCACCACCGATTCAGTTCCATCGATTATTTAGATGTATTTATCTCTCATTGTTTTTGCCCGGCCATTATAACCCTTTTTCCTTTCATTAATTGCCATTAACAAGCGCTTGCCGCGAAAAAACGAATTTAATCGAGCCAAACAATGCGATTCACTTTACTCGCTTATCCTATTATTTTAATTAATTTGTTTCTTTAATCCACATCAAAAAAGGGTACAAATAAAAGCCAACTTAAAGCTTTAACTTGTATTTTATACAAAAATAATTTTATATAGTTAAACTATGAAACAATAATAGTACAATAAATCTTATTCACAATCTTCCTCGACAAAAATAACTTTTTTCCAATCGTTTAAGGTATCAATGATAGTCTTGACCTCGCTATTCCATTTTTGAAAATCTTTATACGCATCAGAACTGAAAAAATATTTATCCAGCACAAAATTGGGTTTGGATCTCAAACTGGGCCTATCGACATCTTCACAAGTACTCGGCCTCGCTATTTTAAGGAGGAAACTCTTTTTGGCCCCATTAGTGGTCACTGTAGAAGGGCCCACGCTGTAAATTAAATTCAGGCATTGCACGGGATCAACGATGTCCTCGAACGAAGGATAATTAAATATTTTTAACTGCGTTTCCCGAAGAACGCACCATTTTTTCTCCCAAAAAACTCTATCGCCTATTTCTTGTCCCATATTCATGAATCCTGTGAGTTTGGAGTCTATAGTTAGCCTATCGAGACTAAAACTGAAGAAGGCCTTGTTTTGAAGTCTGGAATTGTCGGTGACCCAATCCAAACTCCATGGAGATTTGTTACCAATGTTGTTTTTAGTCAAGAAGATTTCGCCCACTAATTCGAACGAAGTTGTAAGGATTTTGCTTTCCTGGATTGTGTTTGTTAAAAGGTTCATGTACTGAATGGTGGTCTCGTTCAGTTTTGGCTTGGATTGCTAAAAAAGTAATAAATGAAGGGACTTAACAATGGAAGAAATAAATCAAACCTTTTTAAATAATAATTTAAAACCCTTCTTAGACTTTTTAAACTGTATTCTGTAAACTCTTATTGAAATAATAAAATCTGAATTCTCCTCCGGAAAAATAAACGTTAGACCCTCAAATGGTTGTACAGTTTTAGACAAATGTAATGTAGTACCATCGTTTACGAAAAGAACATAAAACTCTTTTTTCCATTGGATTTTAAAAGAAAATTAAAGTTGGAAATTGATAAACTTCCTTTTTAGGGATGTCTTTGAAGTTGGATATTTGATTTTATAGCAACGAACATTTGACATCTATAAAATAAAAAGGTTATAAACACTCTATATTTATACAGGGTATCCCAAAATCAACGCCCAAAAAGTTCCTCTTTTAAATCTGACAATGAGGGCGCAGTTTTATTGATTTGTAGTTTGGTTGCCTACCTACAAACACAAATACTGCCTCTTGGAGTTCACCCAATTTAGGGACAACCAAAAAGCGAATACTTACATGAATTAAATCGAGCCAAACAATGCGATTCACTTTACTCGCTTATCCTATTATTTTAATTAATTTGTTTCTTTAATCCATATCAAAAAGGGTAGAAATAAAAGCCACCTTAAAGCTTTAACTTGTATTTTATACAATAATAATTTTATATAGTTAAACTATGAAACAATAATAGTACAATAAATCTTATTCACAATCTTCCTCGACAAAAATAACTTTTTTCCAATCGTTTAAGGTATCAATGATAGTCTTGACCTCGCCATTCCATTTTTGAAAATCTTTATAGGCATCAGAACTGAAAAAATATTTATCCAGCACAAAATTGGGTTTGGATCTTAAACTGGGCCTATCGACATCTTCACAAGTACTCGGCCTCGCTATTTTAAGGAGGAAACTCTTTTTGGCTCCATTAGTGGTCACTGTAGAAGGCCCCACGCTGTAAATTAAATTCAGACATTGTACGGGATCAACGATGTCCTCGAACGAAGGATAATTAAATATTTTTAACTGCGTTTCCCGAAGAACGCACCATTTTTTCTCCCAAAAAACCCTATCGCCTATTTCTTGTCCCATATTCATGAATCCTGTGAGTTTGGAGTCTATAGTCAGCCTATCGAGACTAAAACTGAAGAAGGCCTTGTTTTGAAGTCTGGAATTGTCGGAGACCCAATCCAAACTCCATGGAGATTTATTGCCAATGTGGTTTTTAGTCAAGAAGATTTCGCCCACTAATTCGAACGAAGTTGTAAGGATTTTGCTTTCCTGGATTGTGTTTGTTAAAAGGTTCATGTACTGAATGGTGGTCTCATTCAGTTTTGGCTTGGATTGCTAAAAAAATAATAAATGAAGGGATTTAACTATGGAAGAAATAAATCAAACCTTTTTAAATAATAATTTAAAACCCTTCTTGGACTTTTTAAACTGTATTCTGTAAACTCTTATTGAAATAATAAAATCTGAATTCTCATCCGGAAAAATAAACGTTTCACCAAAGTCTAAACCATCCTCAAATGGTTGTACAGTTTTAGACAAATGTAATGTAGCACCATCGTTTACCAAAAGAACATAAAACTCTGTGCCCTTACTCTTTTTTCCATTTGATTTTAAAGGAAAATTAAAGTTGGAAATTGATAAACTTCCTTTATGTGGTTGCTTTTTAGGGATGTCTTCGAAGTTGGATATTTGATTTTCGAGCAACGAACATTTGACATCTATAAAATAAAATAGTTATTTATGTATCAAGGCAGTAAAGTCGCATTTTTTATCACGAATGTGGAAATTATAAATAATTTCCACATTCATGATAAAAAATGACTTTAATGCCGAGGTGCATATTAATTTTTTTCCGAAATCACATTTAATAATACTTATAATAATTATTTAATAATACTTATATTAATTATTAATATTGATGATTAAATCAAATGTCATTTGATGATCAAATGATGATCAAATCAAATGTAGGAAATGTCTACGTATACTGTTTGTTGCGGCGGTTATTATATATTTGCCCGCCGCGGCGATTTTTAATCTAATTAATAAAATTAACTTATTTTATTAAAATAAGTTAATTAAACAACATTTTATGAACGTCGACCTCCGCGACGGTGCTTTTTTTAAATTTTATTTAGTTGCTGCTAAAATGTATAATGGGTTGCATCCAATACTCGTATTAAATCGGCAGTAAAGTTCTACTTTACTGCCGATTTCTTTTACTTTTCTGCCGATTGTTGACTACTTTACTGCCGATTTCGGATAAAGGTTATAAACACTCTATATTTATACAGGGTGTCCCATTAACGCCCTCTTTAAATCTGACAATGAGGGGGCAGTTTTATTCATTTGTAATTTGGGTTGCCTACCTACTGCCTCTTGGAGTTCCCCCAATTTAGGGACAGTCAAAAAGCGAATACTTACATGATTCCAAAAGAAGTCTTTCAGCTAGCAGCTCTATACTTAAATTAGTCTTTTTTGTCTTCGTAGTTTTCATCAGTTTTAGCAAACTAGATATTTGTTGCATTATCGTGCAAACCTCATTCTTCTTTAATTTTAACTCGGTCAATAAAAAGTCTTCCTTATTTGATACAGTTGGACTGGGCTAAAAACAACATAGAGTAAATTATTGCGGTAAAACATACAATATTAATACTTACGCATTCATCTTTAAACTTTACAAGCAATTCTTCTTTTTGTTCAAAATAATTATTAGTGCTCGATGTCGCAGGTACTTCTTTCTTAGCAACATCATCAGCACTTGGTAATACTTTAACCTTATTTTTGAATGAAATCGTTGGTTTTAACTTTGGTGTATCTTTAAACACATTTATTTCAGGCAAACTATAGTTATTGGAAACATTAATGGTCTCATAACTTGAAGACGATCCTTCAGTAAATCCATCGGAATCCAAGGATGTGTTAAAGAGCTGTTTGCCCTTGTTTCTAAGGTTGGAATGGTGGATTGGTGGGGCTTTGAATATGTATGGAGTGTGATCATAATAATGCGGGCTTAACTCTGGAGTTTGGCCGTTTGCGTTAAATGATATGCTTTTGCTTCGTTTTAGTTTGTTGGAAGAGTAGGTTTGGCCGTCCCAATCTATGCCTAAAAGAACATTGTTTAAATAATGTTTTACAAATTTGTAGCATGTCTTTTGTGTAATAAAAAATAATTTTAAAAGCACAGGTAGACAGGTAGGCTTATTAAATGAGCAGGTGGAAGACAGGTACGTCGTTACAAAAACGTAGAAAATATTTTTAAAATGTTCTTACTTTCATATGATGGAAAAGAAAATTCTTGCCCGTACATTTTCACTGTACTATTCGTAATGCGAACTTTGGAGAACTGCCGGGGAGTTCCCTAAAAAGAACAGAGTTTAAATAAATAATTGTTGATGGTAAAAATTAAACCAGCACTTACTTCTAAATACGCGTTCATCACTTCAGCTACATTCACCTTACTGTGCAAGTTTAACACTTCAACTGACACCTGGAAATACCTGCACCGACAAAATAAAGTTTCTGGCCCCCCAAACACTCATAGTTTCACTAAATGCAAATTTTATGACGTCCCGTTCAAGGAAATTACGTTGCATTACTTTGTGTCTAACACGGGCCACCCTTATTACCTGTAATGATTAAAATAATAGTAATGGTTGGAGTTCCGAGAAATTTTAAGAAAAGAAGATTTTAATATCAAAATAATATATAATGTTTATACAACAGGCGATTGTCGGTCTAACTTTTTGGTTACATACAGCATTTTAATCTAATCTTTAATATTTAATCGTAATTAATTTAGGTAAATAAATTACACAATTTTAATTAAATTTAAAAATAATTTAAATGTTGTATGGTTATTTGTTGTTAAATTTACAATGATATTGACAAGCTATGGCTTTATAGCGCTTTAGTCACGGGCTGAAGAAAGCAACAGGTTTTTAGTCCTTCCTTTGAAATAATATTAATGTAAAAATTATTGCATACAAAATTTCGGGTGGAGACTTCACCGTGAATTGCCCATAAAATATTCTCTTTACTTACACTGTGAAAAACTGATTCTATATCGGATTTAAACGGTTGTTAGTCCATTTTCAAGGGATACATTTTGATTTACACAGACAAATTTGATATTTTGACAGGCGGTAATTCTCATTTTTACCGTTACTCTGTTTTTGTATACATGTCGCTCTATAAAAATATTTAATTTAGATAATTTTTAGATAATATTAAGTATTTGTCGTAGAAAAAGTATAGTATGCAATTCATTTATAAACATTTCTAGACACGCATTTAATTAAACACTCGCTCGCAAGCTTGCTCGTGCGCAACGGTAAAATGGAAAGAGTGGAAATTTTGTGTACCGTAACGAGATTCTTTTCATGAAATTAATTTTATCTCCACGCGGTCTATAATTTAAACTTTATTGTTGTCAACATTCGATAAAGAAATACCTTGTTATGGCCTAGGCCGATAAAAAATTTTATGAGGCAAGTAATTAGTTCGACTTTTTCTCGCTAGGGGTATTGTTTTGACAAATTAATCCTTTTCTAAGAAATTAACGTACTAAACTGGTTTAATTTATTTATAATAAGCACTAATTTGTTTGTTTTACTGTTAATGTTTAACATTTTTCATTAAATTATTGTAAAATTAAATAGGAATAATAAAACAAAAAGTGAGGTTAGGCAACCAAGAAAACGCACGATTCTTTCTCTACGATTTAAATTATCTTTAAGTTTTAATTTGCTTTAAGTTTTTAGTGAAATTAAATGTTAAAAACAGCTTAAACATTCCAAACTACCTATTTTGTAAATAAAAATCCAAACAAATTGAAATTGAACAATTAATTGAATTCAATGTAATAGCAAAAATCCATTTCTACTTAAATCATGTTGCTAGGTATTGTCATACTATTACTGCTTCTTAAAGCAATAATAATTATTGTATATTTAATGTAATCTTTAGCTAATAAATAAATGAGATTCTAAAAAAGTGAGGTTAGGCCGCTTTGATGTTGAATTAAATTGACCTATATAAAGTGCTTTGAAAATAAAATGTTGTATGCCATTCGGCCAAGAAGTGCCTTTTTGTGCTTCGTTTAATTGTAGGCCTCCGCTACGCGTCGGCCTTCAAACCTTGAGCTTAGCACAAAAAGCCTTACTTCTAAACCTAATGACATAAATAACTATTATAGTTAAAATGCTACAAAAATTAAATGTAATTATTTTTCAAAAATGCGTTTTCAGAAGAAAATATTAATTTTGTAAGATTTTGTTTTAATTTAATTTTATTTAATTTCATAAAAGTTAGTTTTAAATCCTAAAAATTCGTTTTTTAATATTAATTTTATAACATAAAATAAGTATTTTTAAGATTTTTTTACCATAACTGGATAGCGTTTATCGAAAAGGAACCAAGCGCCAACAAATTTTTCTGGGGCAAACAAAATTATTTGCAAAATAACTCATTTTTAATGCTGCTCAAAAACTTAATACTGATTTGGGAATCCTCGCAATCCTTTTGAGAAAAGTTCCAAATAATGATGAACCTTTTGAGCATTATGCAAAATGAGTTATTCTATAAATAATTTTAATAAGCCTAGAAAAAGTTTTTGGCGATTAATTTTAATTTTATTGTTAAAAGCATTAACAGGATTCTATTCATAAAATCAGTTTTATAGTCAAAACTAATCACAAAATATAATTATTTTTTTATATAAATTTAAATTTTATTGCAAAAATGAATTTAAAACACATTTAATTAAGTCATATTTTGTGAATAATTTTAATTTTATAACATAATTTGTTTTTGTAGTGGTTAATAATGCGCCGATCGTTAATAATTAATGACTAGGGATGGGATTTTAGTTATTTTACCTTTTTTAACCGTTGTAACTATTTGAAAACCAATAATGCCAAAATGTGTTTTAAAAGATTTTCTTTTATATGAACCTAACTTGTTTTCACCTTTTTTACCTTTTTTGGAGGTTTTTAAGCAATTGCTTTTAACTACCTTTTTTATACTTTTGTTACCTATTATTTTAACTTTTTTTTCACCTTTTTTACCTTTTTTGGAGGTTTTTGCTTTAAACTATCTTTTTATACTTTTCTTACATATTTTTTAATTTGTCAGTTTATTTTCACATATTTGTTACCTATTTTTACTTATTTTATTTTTTTGTTCTTTTTAAAATTTACACCAATATTTTATCCAGGGCGGGCAACTCAACGGTATAGATTTTTTTCTTATGGTTACAGAGTGTAACAGTAACTTTCTTTACAGTTACCTTCTTTGTAGTGACTCACTACTAGTGAGCTTATGTTCTGTCATAGAACTTCTGTGTAGTGAGTGTCACTCAGTAAAATACAGTTTATTGCATATAAATAGTTTATTGTGGGTATGTTCTGTGATTTATATAATTTTTACACAAGTTTTTTGCGGGTACCCAAATTGTGTATTTTTAAGCGAAACTGAGCATTTATAGAGTTTAGCTTAAATAACTTGAAGTAGGTAGGTATACCTAAGCTTAAATAACTTGAAGTAGGTAGGTATACGTAAGCGTTAAATGAAACGTCAGTTTTTAATTAAACGTTTTTTTTTTCATTTTCCAAAAATTAATTAATAATTATCACAACTTGATAAAAAAGTATAGTGTTTACCTCGCGTGAAATCGATTTTTAATTAAACGTTTTTTTTTCATTTTCCAAAAATTAATTAATAATTATCACAACTTGATAAAAAAGTATAGTGTTTACCTCGCGTGAAATCGCAATTACTCCCTCAATGAATTCCTTCACTCGCCTATTGGCTCGCTCGGAAACTTTCATCATCGGGAGTAATTGCTATAATTGCTCAGTAAACAATATGCTTATTTTTAAATTTTTTTACCATAATTTTATCGTAATAATGTGTTTTATGTTTTGTGAGAAGATATCGACTATTTTACAAAATACAAATACAAAATACACCAACAGAGCTGGGAGTTGAAAAAAAAAGATACTTAAAAGTATCTAAGATACTTTATCTTAGGTACATACTTTTTATATTGGACAGAAGTATCTTGTAACTTGTATCTAAAAAAGTATCTAAGTTACTAGGTAAAGTAACTAAGATACAATCAAGTAACTTAGATACTTCCTTAGAGAAAATTGGGGGAATTCCAGAATGATTTAAAGTAATTACCTAACCTACAACTTCTTAAATTTTCATTTTTTATTTTTTATTCATACTTAAAAGTAACTTAGTTACTCAAAAGTATCTTAGTTACTTAAAAGTATCTCGAATACGTTCATATACCTAGTATCTTAGATACTTTCTAAAGTATCATGTAATTAAAGATACTTTCAACTCAAAGTATCTAGTTACCTGAGGTAGGTAACTAAGTTATTTAGTTTAAAGTATATTAGAAAAGTAACTAGATATTTTTTTAAGTAACTTTCCCAGCTCTGTGCATCCTTATATGTACTCTCTAAAATTGAATGAGTCAAAAATGACTAATTTAATAGTTATTAGTGGCTGCTTTTTCACTTGTACCATGGTAAACCATGGAATACCACGGTATCCCAAAATTTAAGCATTCTTATGTAAAATTGTCCCCTGAATCCGAAAATGTCGCCAAAAGTTAAAAAAGTAAAGCAGTTTTTGAGATATAGTCAATTTTCCATTTAATATGGAATTGACTATATCTCAAAAACTGCTCCACTTTAATAATTTTTGAATTTTCGGATTCGGGGAACAATTTTACATAAGAATTGGCAGTAAAATTTTGGGATACCATGGTATTCCATGGTTAGCTATGGTACAAGTGAAAAAGCAGCCACTACATACATGTAGTTTGTAGTTTAACTACAAAATTTACAGCGGCCATTAATAAAACAAAAGATGGTGGTGGTAACGCAAAACATAGTACCGAAAAAATTAGATGAAAATGTAGATTAATGTGTATGTTTACATGTAAAACTCTTGGTAACTAAAATATGAAAACCCTTACAACGTAACTATTATTTTAACTAAGAAATCCTAATTCTATTTGGTAATTTACCTCTTAGTAAGTATAGGACAGATGTAAACACTGTCCCATCTTAAGAAAATTGTAAGGTTTTTTTGAAAATACTTTTTTAAATAGAAAAACACTTTTTTTATGCCAACAGTTTAGAAATATAATTACCAGAGTATAGATAGTTGTAAATGTATTGTTTTATAGAACAGGATATTTTTACCTACCGCAGGAAATTATTTGAAAAATTGCTTCAATAAAACAATTAAGTTTTTATGTTTCTCGTAATCATTATCGAAAAAGTCGCTACCATTTACCGAAAACCAAAAAATAAATCAAACTAATGATAAACTTCCAAATGGAATATATGAAAGCATTATAGGCTTGGATCGTCTTCGCTCGCGGTGAAAAAAATAAACGCTCCGATAAAAGAAAAAACAATCGCTGCAGAAGACGCAACAGAAGGAGAATGAAAAGAAGAAGAAGAAGACCGATGCGGCCATTCTGATTACCAACCTGCCAAATATAAAATGCGCCATACATCACGTACGAGTCGACACCGAAGAGTGAAACGGTAGCATCTTCGAAAACAATGGCACAGCGCGCGTTGATTGACCTTGGTCGTTCCAAAAGAATTTCGCAACAAATCCATAAAGATGCCCCGTATTTATCGGTTTCGTCTGCCTGTCAGACAGTAGCCCGCTTTTTGATAGTCCAAACTCGGGAAAAAGTGCTCGATTTTGGCGGTGACGTCACATGCGCTATATGTCATTAAAAAGACCACTATCGTACAGTTCATTTTTTTTAATTTGGACTCGTTGGTAGCTTATGCCAATTTAATTTAGTATTTTTAATATTTAAAAATGGTACTACTGCTGATGACCTTAATTAAATACTCTGACATTGTCAAATTGACAGTAATAATCCCCACCCTTAACGTCCAAAATCCTTATGACAAAACCGCTATTCCCTATTTTCTGCTAAGTTTCTACTCCAATTTAAGAGTAAGGGCAAAAGGTCCAACTTGACCTGACCCTTGCTCGGGCCAAAGCCCAGCATTTTAGGCCACAATACAATACAATACAGTAATAATAAAGGACAAAACTTTATTTCGATGTAGTTATGCCAAATGCCTCAATGGCAGAAAAAGTTCATCGCCAAATGGACATTATTGGAGTAAAAAAGTAACGTGTTTGGTTTTACAAATATTAAATCGCACTAAGCAGATCAAAAATTTTTGAAATTTTAAAAAATAAGGGGAATATATTATATTGATTGGACAATATTCACGTGTGTTCACATACCATTTTAATTCCTTTTATATAAATTCTTTTCAAAGCGAATATTATCCGCTAGGAATACTTTGTCTCTCCTGGGCCTTAGTCACTTACACAGTAAAATATTTATATGTATATTTAACATTTTTCTTGTGTCCCAGAAAGTCCACTCAAATTTTTTAGTTTTTTTGATTTTTATTACTTATGTTAATTTTTAACACAACAGAATGTGTAAAAAAATTAAAATATGTTATTTTTTTACATAACTGCAAAGTTAATTTAACAAATCGTGTTGTTTCAATTTTACTTTTTTTAAATGGTTATTTTAACCTAAACTAATAATTAATATTATTTAAAATCTGTATAACTTTACATAATTAAATATGTTAATAGTATATTATCAAGTTTTATAAACGCCATTTTATGCACGAGTTTTATTAGGCACGAGCGAAGCTTGCGAGCGAGTGTTTAATAAAAACGAGTGCCTAGGGATGTTTATAAAACGAGTTGCATACTATACTTTATCTACGACGAACAGAAATGAGAATTTAAAGCCAATTTTAATTTATAAATATTTGACATTTGACCAATTTAACCTCACTTTTTTGCAATTTATAATAACGCTAACTTCAGCCCGTGACTAAAATGCCCAAAAGCCACTGTTGTTAACTTCAGCCCGTGACTAAAACACCATAAAGTCACAGCTCTTCAATGTAGTAGTAGATAAATTTGTTTATATTTTATTATTTATTATTTGTAAAACCAAATACGTTACTTTTTTACTCCAAAAATGTACTTTTTCTGCCATTGAGGCATTTGGCATAACTTCATCGAAATAAAGTTTTGTCCTTTATTAAAAGTGTTACTTTAACATATATCTTTCTATTGATTTTACACAAATAGCATGTCTTCATTTATTTATTTTAATTTGTTATTTTAACAATATTTTTTAATTAATTTTTACATTATTAATTGTTTATTTTTATTTTAATAAAATATAATATAAGAATATTGGTTTTTGGAGAAAAAATAAAACATGAAAGTATGTAATAATAATAATTTACAAAAACGACAACATAATTAAAAAAAGGCCACCAATGAAGCATTGGAATTCACTAAGTTCAGTCCTTTTTTTGTATACCAAAATAAAATACAAATCCATGCCATAGGGTAAACGGTCTTCAAACATTTCCGGGGATATATACATATTTTATATTTATATATGGATATATGGATATGGATATGGATATATGGATATGGATATATGGATATGGATATATGGATATGGATATATGAATATGGATATATGGATATGGATAAATGGATATGTGGATATGGATATAGATATATGGTTTTATGGATATGGATATATGGATATGGATATACAAACGTTTTAAATTTTGTTAAACACACGCTATACAATTAGGAACCTCTAATCGAATTAACTAACAAAGGACCTTGCAGGTTCACGATTTTAATAGAAAGAAGGAGAAAATTAGCGAATTAGAAGAATAACAAGTATATTTAAGTTGAATTAAATTTAAAAAAATACTCAATTGTTTTAATTTGATTAAAAAAATTTTGTACTCAAATATTTAACAAATATTTTTGAGTTAGATTAACACTTGTTTAGCAGATATTTAAACTAATGTATTATATTGAAATTAACATAATTTTCTCGTAACATTAACTATATTATTATACTACAATGTACAAAAAAATTATTATTTAACATTCTTATTTGTGTAGGACCTTTTAACACATTAATGTTTGTTAAATCTTTTGAAATTTTAAGATTTTAATTATTATAATTTTTGTATCAAGTAACATATATCATTTATGTCATAGGAAGTTTATGTAAATTTTTACATATTTTATTTAACACGCATTATTTTTAACACAAATTTTATAAATTTTTAACTGTGTACGAATTTTGACAAGTCAACTTGACAATGAAACCTACAATAATTTAAATATAACCACAATTACATTATAATTATAATTAGGTATATGTATACATTTATAATTAGTTTAGTTTGTTTTAATCAATGCAAACAATTTTGGTTTCGTATTTACCAACCAAACCTAAATTTGCAACGTTGCCAGATAAAAAAATGAACTTTACCTACACATGTCTAATTTGACGTTCACTTAATTGTAGAAAATTCTAGAAGCATTTAATTTCTAATGTTGGGAATTTTACTAAATCCTTTATCATACCTGACCTAATAAATTAGCTATAACTGCTCAGATTAACAATTTTTAATCTCGATCATAAAAGTAATGAATATTTTGAAATGGGAAATAAAATATGGGATTAAAATAATATTAAATTCCCAAATGCACCTGATTTGTTTTGGGGGTGTATCTCCCTTTTATTCGATCATTAGTTACGTGACTGTTACAGCATCGATAACTTTACAACTTAATAGCAAGAGAGTTTTCAGAAAAACATGTTCAACCAATCAACGAGTAAGTTATTAATTTTTTGTTGCTAACAATTTACTAACATTTTTTTTTGTAGTATCAGTTAATTCCACTATGACGACATACTCAGAACCTTGGTATGACCACCCACTCAACATGCAGTATAGCGAAATTGAAGAAAAGTCGTCAAAAATTTACTCTTTTTTCCGCAATAAAAGCTTTAGACGAAAATCAATGATAAACAAAGCCAAGGGAGAAATGAGGAAAGTCATCGAAACTCTTAAAGAAAAGAAAATGAAAAAAGAAAGTGATAAGGATAGTGGAATTGTTGACAACGTAAGTAAATATTAATTTTATAAAATTTGCTTTATTAATTTGAATAATATTACAGTTTTCGTTATCGCAAGAAATTGAAGATTCGTTTTACGACAAAACAGATTTATTTTGCCAACTAAAAATGGAACGCGACACTGAGTTGCTAAAAATACATCAAGCCACAAGAGCAATGGAGTTATTGAAGAAAAGTAAACACCACGACTTATCCGAGGAACTCCTTATAGAAAGAATTTTGCTGGAATCTTCATCCCGGCAAAAAATGATTTTGGAGAGAATACAGCACCTGGGATATTCAGAGACCAAGAAAAGATATTGTTCTGGAAGAGTTGTAATATCAAACGTTAAATTAAATGTTAAATGCAACGATAAAAGTCGCTTGGAAGAATATTTTGTCATGCAAGCCAGAATTGGGTATAGGATGTATATATCAAAGCCACAAATAGCCCAAAACAATAAGGTTCAGTTTAAAGATACTATTATTTTTGATGATTTGGAAACCAACTTTAATATTCACTTGCAGTGGTATAGGATCAAACTGGAGGTGTCAGGAAAAAAATTAAAAAAGGTATGTAAACGAAATAGGTAAAACCTTATAGGTTAATAATGTTTAATTTTTTTCAGAAAAGTAACATCTTAAACAAAGTCTGCAGAATAACCTTCGATGACATCCACACATTGAACCACGAGGAAAAAGAAGTTTTCCAAACTTCCTTCAATTTGGTTGGCGAACTTAACCTAACCAAAGAATATCTAGCAAAAAACCCTCAAACTTTTGAGCTAACTTCGACCTCCCTCAGCAGTTCCTTGGAAAGAAAAATCGAGATGGATTTAAAAGCAAACGACGTCTTGATCTACTCGAAATTCCGTTTGTTTTTGAACGTGGGGAAAATGATGCACAACCAAATATTTTGGGAGAGAAAATGGTGCGTGTTGGATGGAGAACGCTTGAAAATCTATAGCTACCCATCAGATGAGGAGTTTGGTCAAACTCCTGACCAATTAATACTCACCAAAGAAGTTGAAATCACTCTGTCCGATCCTCAGTGTCCCAGGAAAAGGAGTTTTAGTTTGACGGTTGTTGATCGAAAGTTGTTTTTCATGTCGGAAAATTTGGAGGAGTTTCAGGAGTCCACAAAGCAGTTAAATTTTGTGTTAAAGAATTTAAGAATTTGGAATGTGTAACAATATTTTTTTATTATTATAAACAATAGGTACATTGAAGCTTTTAAAGCTATTGTGATACTACAGTGATTTTATGAATTAATTTATGTAAATGTAAAGATTAAATTTAAAAATATTTAATTTGTGATTTTAGAGTAGGTTTGTTAATTTTCTATTTTTATTTGTTTTAGTATAATGATAATAAATAAATTTAAAAAAACGTTATGTGTTTTATCTGTGAAACTAAGGTTTATGTCACCAAACCAAAGGGATATTAATATACAGTGTGTATCAGCCAAATGGAATATATTCGATATAATACATAAATGTAGACAGGTTACAATTTTTTGGATTCTACAATTTTTAGAAGAATCCAAAAATTGAATAATATACAGGGTGTTGCATTTGAAATAAGAAAGTTGGTATTGGCCACTGCTACATGACACACCCTGTAAAAAAAGTTTATGTTGAAAAAAATGCCTATAAAAATATATTTTTATAGGCATTTTTTTCAACATAAACTTTTTTTATGCCTATCAAAGTGTCCCAGCTTTTTTTGGAACACCCCACTATTTATTTCATTTGGCTGATACTTTGGTTAAAGTAAAAATTTGATTATAAATTTCATAACTCATCTTTTGGTTTGTCGATATAGAAAAATTAAAAATATTTAGAGATTGAAACTTTAATTATAGTCCATTCCATTTAAGAATAAAGTAGATGTCGCTGCAAAACGAGACAGGTTTACACAAATTTAAATATAATGGCGGTTGTCGTTGATAGAATATTAATATATATGTTATATCAATGATGTGAAGTTGGCCTTTTTAAAAAGGGTTGTCGGTTACTGGGCAAACTTTATTGATCACACGATATAACAAGTGTTGAATTGTAATTATCTTCCATATATTTCCATGAACAACAATTAAGATGCACTTTACTTTATAATAATATATTTAAAATAAACTTGTGTATAAACTTTAGAATTATAATCTTATGAATAATAGTTAACAGTTATAAAATACAATTACAATCAATTAAAAAATACGGTCTCTCCTATTTATATACTATTAACAAAAATAGGTAAGAGTAGGGAAAAATGTCCTTATGTCAGCAAACGCCAGGATTACTAATAATCCAGACATTTGGCATTTGCTGTAAAACAACAGTTTATTATATTATAAAATAACAAAGTTCTTAAAATAGAAATAAAACATGTAAAATAATATCTAATATCTAATATCACTGATAACACTAGTAAACACTAAACAAAGGGTCTATTGTCTAGAGGGCACCTAACACTCCTCCCTTCTTAAAGACACAAAATTGGGGTTGAACTAGGTTGACACCAATTTTGGGGAATTGAAAGAAGTTTCCAGCTCGATGTCTTCTGCGATGCGTGGAGTTCTTCGAATGGGGTTTCTTCTACTCGGGGTTATCAGGATTTGAAGGAGAACCAATAACTATACCAATTTGGCGAGATCTCCTCTTCTTAAGTTTTCTTAAGCATAAGTAGATTACAATTAAAATAACGAAAATTATGGAAACGTAAGTAAACCATGAAATGTTCTTTTCCATAAAACTTTCTTTCATCAGCTTGTCAATTTCTTCTTGTAATTTATGTAAATTTTCGTCAGCAACATTTAGTTCATCTAAGTTCAACTTAGCAATTTTTAAAGGTTTTAAATTTGGAATATTTATATTTATGTTGTTTTCTTCTGACCAATTTAAATCTGGGATATCTATGATTTCGTTCAAAGTTGTATTTTTCGAAGTTGTAGAGAAAACCATTGTTTCTCCAATATAAGCAGTACCTTTGGGTGGTAACTTTAATACTGTATTTTTGACTAAGTTTTCACTGCCAAAAATTCTTTCATTAAAAGAGATAGTTATTGAAACAGGTAACGTTACTGCAATTAACCATGTATTATCAGCAACTTGTTCAATTTTATAATCATCGGAATAAATAATTGTTTTATTACAATTTTTAGGCATTCTTGATTTTGGATTCGTCAAAATTCTTACTTCACATGGTCCATTATTTGAGGGAACAGCTACTTGATTTTTACAAATAAATCCTTTATCTTGGATTTCTTTACATTGAGCGAAATTATCAAATGAAAAGTAAAATCTGTTATCGACAGACAAAGCAATATACTTTGAATTTGGAATTAAAATAGTGTAAAAGTTAGAGTTATTACTTTTAATGGGTATTGAATATAAATGGTAAATATTAAATCTATCATGAGTAATTAAAGGTATGTTTAAAATAAAAACAACTTCTTCATTTGTTTGATAAGCACTTAATTCAATTATTTCATAAAAATAAGGTAATTCAATATAATCTGGTTGAAAAGGTAATTTTGAAATACTTAGTTTTCCTATAATTGATCTTAATTGAATTATTAAATCTTCAGGTGAAATTATCGAGGGATGTAAAATTTTTAATTTAGCAAATGTTATTGATGAAATAATATTATTTAATTCATCTTCAATTATTATATTACGTTCGGTTATTTGTTCACACAATTCAATAAATTTTAATCTAGCTTCTTGATAATATATATTGTTTGAAATATTACCAATGGTTTCATGAATTTGTCCAATGTTTTGATTAAAAGTAGTTTCGTCAATGTCTAATTGTTGCATTGTCTGGTTAAAATTTCGTATTGTACTTGTAACTATTGATATTTGACTTTTCATTAAACTTTCTAATTGTCTTTCGTCATTATTTAATTTTTTAATACAATTACTATAATATTCTCCGTCATTAGCATCTAAATTTCCTGTTATTTGTTTCCAAACAGTTCCTATACCATTAATTAATCCTCTTTTAAAACGTTTTTGTTCAAAGGGTATATTATATTTAATTTCGTCAAATTTTTTATTAATATTTGCAATTTGTCTACTAATTATTCCTAAATGAATGATTACATCTGCATTAAAAAATTCAAATCTTTTATTATTAGCTTTTAATAAAATGTGCGTATTTAAATATGTAGTTAATTTTTGATTTTTGATAAAAGCGTTTTTAAGTAAAGTTAAATTTTTATATGTTAAAATAGACCACTTATCGTTTGAAACTAATAAGGGTTTTTCTTTAAAATAAATTATTCCTACCGTGTTATTTATTGTAGTTAATATATCGTTTTCTTTTAATAAATTCGATCCATGAGTATTAATTACACCTACTTTTATGATAAGGATAAAAATTTCTATAAGGTTGATAAGATTCATCTACAAAGAGAGAAAAATTTAAATTAGTTTATTTTTGAAGTAATTAAATCTGAATTAATTACAATAATATTATCATTTAACAAATTTTTAAGTTTGAACGCGTTATTTCTTAAAATTTCAATAATCTCAAAAGGTCCAATAGCTTTATTTGCTAATTTATTTGCTATTTGTGTTTCTTTAATAAATACTATGTCTCCAATTTCATATTGAGTTTTATTAACATTAGCTTCTACATTATCAAAACGTATTTTTGACTTTTCCTTTGCAGCTTGAGTTTTTTCTCTTGCGATTTTATAATAATAAGAAATTTTGTTATTTAAATCTCTAACATACTTTGTTATTAATTGTTCTTCGTTATATATTATTTCATTATTTCTAGCATTAGTATGACCAAAAACTAACTCGTATGGTGAAAAACCATGAGTTTTATTAATTGAGTTATTATAACATATTATAGCATAAGGCAAAACACTAAGGGGATGATCGTTTGGATTATCTGTTACTGTAGCTCTAATCATTTCTAATAATGTACTATGAAATCGTTCTAAACTTCCGTTACTTTGTGGGTGAGCTGTACATGAAAATGTTAATTTTATGTCATACAATGTGCATAAGTCTTTAAGTAAATAATTATCAAATTCTCTTCCATGATCCGCATGGATTCTTAAAGGGGTTCCATAATGTTGGAAATATAATAGTAAAGTATTAACAACTGATTTACTTGATTTGTCTTGTATTGGATATGCTTGTGTGAATTTAGTTAATTCATCTCGAATTGTAAGAACATAATTTTTATTTGGAATTTCTAAAATATCTACATTTATTCTTTCAAAAGGGGCTTTTGGTGTTTCAGTAATTACTAAAGGGTTTGTTAGATTTTTTCTACAAGCTTTAACTTTTTGACATGTTTCGCATTTTCGAATATATTTTTCAACGTCTTTATTTAAACCTATCCAATTGAATTTATTTTTAATTCTATTAACTGTCTCATTTATTCCTCTATGTAAATTTTGTTTTCCTACATGATATTGATCAATAATTATTTCTCTTTGATCTTCGTCGGGAGTTGTAATATTTTTATCACACGTAATAAATTGTATATGTTCATCTTCCGCAAATATAAAACTTAACATTTCTAAAATAGGTAAATTATTATAATCTTCTAAATAAAATACGTTATTTGTTTGTTCTAATAAAATGTGTTTATTTTCAAATAAAATTTCAAATGCATATTGTTCCGTTTCATTTCCGAAAGGTAAAGTGATGATATAGTATTTTCTATTTTTAATGCATGCGCTATTTATAACATTAATTATTGTACCAGAGATTTCAATATTATCTTCATGAAAGTCTTCAAGAATTTGTAATTGTTTATTTGTGAGTTCACCTTTTTTCATGAATACTAAAATATCTTTATGAGTTTTGTGTAATAATTCTTCATTTGACATTTTACATTTATTAAAATCTATTAAGGACCTAACTTGTATTGCGTTTCTAAATCTATTATAAGAATTTAAAACTTCATCGTTATCTACATCTTCTGTATTTAAATTATTTTCTTCATCATCATTAGAATTAGAAGGACCTGCTATTGCCGTTTCTGTATATACTTTATTTAATTCTAAATTTTTATATTTATTATGAAAAAGTTTTACTTGTTTTAATTCATCTAAATAATTTAATTTTACTCTTGAAAGTGCGTCAGCTATTTTATTTTGTTTACCTGGTTTGTGGATTATTTTATAATTATATTCCTCTAATTTTAATCTCCATCTTACTAATTT